CACACGTCGTCTGAACTGTGCAAACAGCGGTACATTAAGCAAAACAGGCAGCCGGTGGGTCAGTGTTTCAAGCCGAAAGTGGCCATCCTAGTGCCTTGCGGTACTTGATTGCTTTCTTCAATGTTTCCTCCGGCTTGTTTTGGAAGAGCTGATTGAAACTCTGCAGAAGGCTTTCAGGGGCCCTCCTTCAATGATCTCTCGAATCGAAGCTGTGAGGCCAATGGATTTCAGTTGGCTCAAAGTTCTGACTCTGGAAAGGGCTACATAAACTATCAGCCACCGAACATCGGTAGCCAGGGTGCTCGGGAACCGCTGTTTTAAATCCTGATTTCGATGTGAAATGCCAGTCCCTTTTCAAAGGCTTCAAAGCAAAGACCTCCGTCATGTTTTCTGAGCAGTCAGGGTTTGGTGGCAAAAGGGTAGAACTAGAATTGTCCAGTTTAATGTACACACAATACGGGAGGTACTGTAGAACTACATCTGCTTGCTTGCGTGCTACTTGCCTTGCATCATCAGGGTGCAAATCCAAAGCTACTATTTGCCCAGTGACATCTTGAACTGCGAAAGGTGGCTGGACTGAAGTCGTGATGCGCACTTGCATTCCGACATAGGTGGCACCAACGCTCGGCAATTTTTTGGTGGTGTGCAAGCGATACACTTCTAACATCTCACGGAACAGCTCTGGTGTGCAAAGCTTTTTTGGAGCGTCGGTGCTGTAACGCGACCATTGAACTCATGCACTTGAGCACGTCCCACCACCCAATAGTGTTTGCCATCCGGTCCAACACTGAGTGCAAGCTTCAGGTCGCATGGCCTGAACTGCAAGTCCTGCTGCTTGAGACGAGAAAGCCAATCATCACGATCGGTTGCATCAGCCAATGTCACAGCGGCCTCTTCACTGACCCAGACCGACAAAGATCCAGACAAATCCCTGGCGATGCTCGGAAACCAGATCTTGTCCATACTGTCCGATGGCACATCAATTTCTGCAAGAATAACTTGATACAAACTGTCCGTCTGAATGCTGGCAATGTCGCGCGAGTTCAAGACATGCAGGCAAGTGTGGTGCCCCTCTTGGGTCCAATCTCTGCTTTCGCTTGCTGTGAAGCTGGCCAACTTGGACATCTGTGGTGGCTAAGGCTTCCTGCTTCTTAGCAAGAAGCTGCAAAGCAAATTCGGAAGAGTTGTCTTCAATCACCTCTGTGCCGCGAGATGAGTTCAGGTCAAGTTGAGGTGATCCGTCCGGATTGAAAGTTGACCGAATTGCTGTGAGGATAACAACATGTCCAATCAAGTCGCAGCAGTTCTGAACGATTCCGGACGAGCCCGTGTCCTGCCAAGGACCAACCCGTATGAATGCAGTCTTGCCTGTGTCAGTGACTTCCGACAAGTCTGTGAGCTCCACAATTGCCTTCTCACGGGCGTTGAATGAAGTCGGTTCAGTGCAGGAGCAAATCAAGCCCAACACGTCAAACAGAACATTGCTACTGACAATGCCCAAAGTGCGAAATAGTGTCCAAGCAGGGGTAAACATCTTCGGAAGTTTGGCGTCCAATGCTTTATCAGCTGTCATGACACTGGCTTGTAAGTTGATGACCATCTTCAAGGGGTTGCTGACGTACTCAGGCTTTGCCCGCGTGTCAAAGTTTACCTTTGTCAACATCTATGTGGAACCAGCAGTGTACATTTTTTCAGCGACCTCGATCTTGCCCCGGAATGTTGCATCCTCAGCAGTAAAGGGGTTTTGTCGTCCCTCTACTGTTGTATGCACCAGCCCTGGCTTTCAAAAGCTTTGCAACAGAAACAACCAAAACATTCGCTTGCTTTTCAGGGTTAGGCCAAGCAACCACGCAATTGGAGGCATTCAATCCGACCAGCCGTGCTTTGAACACTTTGCCGGTTCGCTGCTAACCACTTTTCTGGTAGGAAAAAGTTTCCACGCGAGGACAAAGAACGCGGCAGGGAAAACTTCCGATTTTTGCGCTAGAAGCATTCAACGTTGCCAAACCCATGCTGTCCTTGGGCCTGAAAAAGAATCCTCGAAAAAACAAACTGAAGCGGAAATGGAAAGATGGTTATGCGATGCATGAGCAAATGCTTCTTTGCATGTAATTACACGTGGATGTCTGCATGAGTACTTGCTGTTGTGGGCATGGCTACATGCTCGTGTGCACATGACCACATGCTCGCGTGCACATGACTACATGCTCATGGCTGCAAAACCAACAAGCTGATGTCTTCAAAACCACAAGCAGGGGCGCGCATAACAATATGGCGAGGCCAACATACACGGTCGCATCGTTGCTACCTGGGCGCAGCAGCAGCAGCAGCAGCAACACCCTCCACGTGCGCGTGCGTGTGCCTGATTGCGTCTTGATGCGCGTCGCTTTCTTGCGGTTCAGGCGTTCAAAGAGCAACTGAAGCAGCGAAACTGGCATATCTTTGGAACGCAGCCCTTCACGTGCGCAGCCGTGCGATTGCGTCTTGACGCGCATCGCTCTCGCGGTTCAGGCGTCCAAGGGGCAACTCGAGCAGCGAAACTGGCATATCTTTGCAACGCAGCCCTCCACGTGCGCAGCGGCATGATAGCGTATTGACGTGCATCACTCTTGTGGTTGAGGCGTTTCGCCACCCTTCACTCTCAGAGGCAGCAGTTCGCCACCCTTCACTGTCAAACGCGGCGGTTGGTCACCCTTGGCTGTCACAAGTGGCCGTTGGTCACCCTTCTCTATCAGAAGCAGCGGTTGGTGTCACTTCACAGTCAAAGCTGCGGTTACCGGTTGGCCACCCTTCCCTGTCAGCAGCGTTTGTTGTTCGCCCTGGACTGTCACAAGCGGCGGTTGGTCATCCGTCAGAAGCAGCAGTTGGCACCACATCACTGTCAGAAGCGGCGGTAAACGGCCCTTCACTGTCAGAAGCGGCGGTTGGTCACGCTTGACTGTCACAAGCGGCGGTTGGTCATCCTTCCCTGTCAGAAGCAGCGGTTGGTACCACTTCACTGTCAAAAGTAGCGGTTGGTACCACTTCACCGTTAAAGGCGGCGTTTGGCGCCACGTCACTGTCGGGGCCGGCGGCTCGTCACATTCCACTCTCAAGTTGCCGAGAATTCGGCGACGCCGTCGTGCCAACAAATGCAAGAAAGCAAAAATAATCGAAGCAATAATCCACGCAAAAATTGGCAACGTCATGAACTCTTATGAACTACGCAAGAAAAGAAAAACGACTCTGCAAAGCAACGATCCAGCGCCTTCCTTATCGATAGATTCTGGAACACATCTTTGTCGTTTTGCGCTCTTGGTTTGTTTTATGTCTCGCCTCGCCGGCGCGTATTTAAGGGGGCACTTCAGCGACGCCTTCAGCATCCTTCAGCCATATTGATTTTGACGCGGCTCCTTTCGCGTATGTTCGGGATGTTTAGGGCAAAACGCGTTCTTCTAGTCATCATGCGCACGTGCATTTGCTTAATGTCCCGCCAGATAACATCGCCATGAACTTGGCGAAGTGAGGGCTGTGTAATCTGTTGCGGCAATTTTCTATCGATTGGGGCGTTACGCAAATGCTATACCGCCTTAACCAGCCTTGGTTTGCTATATGCCTTTTTGCGCCGGCACGCGTAGTGGACAAGTCGCTGTTGCTGCTGTGTCGGTCGTTGTTTTTTTCATCGCTTTCTGGTTTGCTGCGCTTAAAACAAAAGCTGGTGGCTTTGCTTATTGCACCGGCCACCGCAACCAACGTGTTCGTTCTTGATCGTTTTTGTGGTTTGCAGTGTTCTTGTTGCAGTTGGAAACGCCAGTACGTCCGCGTTCCGCGACGTCTTTTCTTTACCGCCCTGCCCCCCCAGGTTTTAATAAAGATGGATAGATTGGCAAGGATTACCACTTTGGCAGCGAACAGAGCTCCAAAATCCTGCGAGTTCTTGGATGAAACCCAGAACGTGCGTGTGCCTTGTTTCATGGCTGTGTTGTTTATGCTCTGCTGCGTCAGCCACTTGGCTGTGAGCAAGTCCAGAGTACAACTGTCATGAAACAAGCGGTGCTCATGCAATGTGCAGTGCATGTCTCATCAGTACGTCTAAGTTGTACAAGAATCCGTCATTCCCTTCGTCAGTTTAACCCCTGCATGCCTCCATCTGTCAAGACAGAGAGAAACGACCAGCTCGGACCTGACAGAACAAGACCCATGACCAGCTGCAGCTTGGCCACCCTGCGCTCCACTTGCGCAACGTTGTTTTTTCAGAGCTGCTTTGGCAATCGGCCTGACGCCGCGACGATGCGACCCCAACGCAGAGCGCAAGGGCTTCGGCAACTTTGCACGCCCTGCGCGCGCGATCTGGTTGGAACTGGACGATTTCCTAGACCGCGCGGCCTGCTGATAACCAAATTTGCCTCCAGCACCTCCCACAAGTTGCAGCGAAGATGGCACCTTTGAATTTTGAATGAGCGCAGCTGGTTTCACATAGAACATGCCTGGATGCACCTTCATAACGGCTGCCAGCGCGTTGTCTGCGACCAACACAAGCGTCAACTTCTGCTGTACACTTTCCAGGACCGCCGACGTAGCAGACCCTCGGTGCCATAATATTGCATGCGCTTGCACTGCACGGGTCGCAGCATACAAGCCCTCCAAGTCAGTCTCGCTGTTTCCACCGGTCGCACAAAGCAACGGCGCAGCTCCGAGCATGACACCGACCCAGCCAGCATGACACTCATTCAAATAGCGGCATACCTGTGACAACCGCTCCCAAAGCGAACGGCTGTCAAACCCAAAAGGCAGAACGACATCGTCTTCCAGCACCAATGTATACCGGTGTGAAGATTGCGCAACCAATGACTTCAACGCATTGAAGTGGCTGCGCGCGCGGCCATGTTGAGCCCAAAAGTCCACTGCCCCGCAGCTAGCCAGCTTTCCAGGCCGAACAAGGTGTGTCACACGGTCCTTGCCTTCCGTGTAGGTCAAACGCCATACAAATTTGCTTTTGCAACGCGCACGGCCACCTCTCAGAAGCAACTCTCGCCCATTCACAGCTGGGACTCTGGTGAAGTCCAGCTCCAACATTTTCAAAAGGTTGCTGACACTAGACAACCGTTCCTGGCCCCGATCTAAGTTGATCACATAGGTGGCCACCTGCATCCTTAAGGAACTGGCCATTGCAGGAACAAGATCACTACAGTCAGTGCAACTTGCATAGCTGTCTTACTTCTATTGGGTTTCTAATTGTTTGTTTACTATTGTAATTGTCTCGGCTTGTAGATGCTGGTTGGACGACACCTTCAGTACTTGCAGGTGTTGATGCAGCTTTCGCGCAACAGGTGCTTCACCACAAACACCGCATAACCTCACCGTGCCTTTTGAGCACGTCAGTTCGGCAGCAGCTGAGTTAAAGACCATGTGTTCAATCATGCGTTCGATGCGAATCGCAAACAAGCTCGAAGCGCGTATGCAACGTCGACTGACACCTGATTGCTTCAAACGCAAAAGCACAGCCAAAAACAACATTGCAAATTCCACTCCTCCGCTTCATCGCCTTCCGATCCCAGGTCATCAACGCCTTGACAACCACACAAAACAAGGTCACTGCATCAGCAGCCTAGATCTGCTATTAATGCCTCTCTCAACGAGACGTCAAATTTGTTTCGCGCTTGCTCTAGCCGTCTTCTTCTGTCAAGTGCTGTTCACTCAATTTCGCATGCGCTCGCGCACTGAGCATCCTCAGGCACGCGCCATGCATCACGTACACTTTGGTGCTCACTTTGCCAAGCCTGACTGAGGCATTGTGAACTTGATTGATATCTGCAGTGCTCCAATAATCTGGCATATAAAAAGTGCAAAGGAAAGTAAACGGCTCTGCGCCCCGGCCTCTCCGCCCAAGAAGTCAACACCGCAAGCAGCCATCGCAATGCAGTGGCGGGTAAAAAAATTAGAGGATAACTCTGGTTTTCAAGGACCCCCGAGTGAACTCCAAAACAGGATCTCTTTGTTATTCGCTGATGCTTTGAGCACGATTCCTCCATCATCTCGTCACTCATGTCACGGCCGTGTGCCGTGAAAATGGTATGCGCTGGCCAAATGCAGCAGTGTGGGTCTGGGTCTTTTCGGTGTTACTAAGGTCTGCACGAAGAAGTGCTACCAGTGTGCGAAACAAAAAAGATCCGAAAAAAAGTACCTCACATATGCAAGCACCACCGGCTCACAGCACCAGCACCGGCACCGGCACAGCCAGCTCACAGCACCAGCACCAGCACCGGCACCCGGCACCAGCAACCTGCCTCGACCACGCGCACAGCCAGCTCACAGCGCCAGCACCAGCACCGGCACCCAGCACCAGCACCGGCACCCGGCACCAGCACCAGCAACCTGCCTCGACCACACGCGCACAGCCAGCTCACAGCACCCAGCACCAGCACCGGCACCCGGCACCAGCAACCTGCCTTCACCACGCGCACAGCCAGCTCACAGCACCTGCACCAGCACCGGCACCCAGCACCAGCACCGGCACCCGGCACCAGCACCAGCAGCCTGCCTCCACCACGCGCACAGCCAGCTCACAGCACCAGCACCGGCACCAGCAACCTGTCTCGAAAGCGTGCACAGGCAACTCCTTGTTATTTGAAGTAAGAACCCCATAGCTTCGCTATCTGGGGAAATAGTGATAATTGATTACTGACTGTTACAGGTAATAGGACAGACCCATTATATAACTTATAGCATAATGTATATATATAACTATACATGATGATATCTCAAAAGAAGTTTGGCTGATGTTTGTTTATATCAGTGATCTCTCAAAAATACTTTGGACCTCTGGTTGAAAACTGCTAACAAGCAGGTTGGAGAGAGGTAGGTCTCCCCTTGGACCCGCCCCTTGCGCCGATCCCGACCGAGTGGCCGGATGAAGGAAAGGACAAACCTGCCGTGGCGCCGTGGAGGATGCAGCTGCAACAGCGAAATCTGGGCGTTTGATGCTCCCAAAGGCCAACGGCTCTTTATGTGCCAAGAAAGCACTGAAGACACAAAATGAACCCGAGCTAGACGAACCTGGAAGCTACCTCTTCATGTCCAGCAACAAAGTTGTTTCTGGAAATCGATGGATTGTGGCTATCCCTCAAACATTGATTCCTTTTGATCCAGCTATCCTCATTTCGTACCAAGCAGACCAAGCACCAGTCAACTAGTTGATGAGATGTGTTTTGGGAGTCGTTCGGAACACCATTCTTCAAATGGCCTCACGAACGGTGATCTGAGTCCAGGAATTTCCGTGTGTGTTGGGAGACATAGGGAGACCTACCAGGCGTCCCGACCCCAAGGGACCAAGCGAAATAAACAAAGACCTGTTGGTTGGGGACGCTACGAACGGGGCTCCTGGCCTTGCCACTAGGAGCAAGGACGCTACTGGGGGCTCCTGGCATCGCTACTAGTAACAAGAAGCCACTAGGAGCAAAGGGCATCGCTACTAGCAACAAAGGGCATTACTACTGGTAGCATTCTTGCTACTAGTAACAAGAAGCTACTGGGATGCTGTGCTCACCGCTCCGCACCTGGCGAGCATCGCTGCTGGCCAGGCTCGGATGGCCTCCCAAGCTCTCCTGCAGCCAGCTGGGCCTCGTTCCAGGCAGGAGGTTCGGATGCTTCGGGTTGTTTGGTACCAGTGGGCCATCAGAGGTTCGATGGCACGTTGGTTACCCCAAGTGAAGGTGGTTGTTTTGTATGGACCCTCTTAAAGAAAAATTACATCTTGGACCCCCATCTGTCAAAGACCTCTTGGGGTGGTGCCAGTCCCGTCAAAATGAATTGATCAATTGATCCGTGGTGAGGCATCTGTTTAAGGAGTAACTAAGGGCATCGCTACTAAGAGCAAGAAGCTGTAACAAGAAGCTACTACCACCGATCCTGTTACAAACGATCCCAACCGATCCCCGGCATTTGAGGTGTTTAAGGTCGGAAAGCCGAACCTCATCACAGCTAAACCGTCAAAGAGTCGACGAAACAACTAAACCATTCATATCCGCGATGTTGTTGGACATGGAAGATGATGAGGAGCAGAAAACACGGTAAAAACCATGGGTTATGCCGCCGAAATCTACTGTACTTAGGAAAGTCTCGCCGTCAGGGTCCTGATGGCAAGGTACCTTCTTCTACGTTCCGTCACAGTGCACGAACCCGTCTGCAGTTCTAACACCACCCCGGATGAACAATTTAGCCACCTGAGAAGAGAAAACATAGGCTGAAACCGCTTGGTTGGAGGTCCCCCTATTCCAACACTCACATCATCCATCTTTCCGCTGTTTTCTCCCCAAATCAAAGCATGTTTTGGCAGTCCTCAAGCAATGCTACAAGGCCAGTGTGGGACTCAGCTGCTGAGCAGGAACAACATGTTGATCCGCTCCAACCCCATATGCTTGACAATGTCGCTTCTGGGTGCTTCAGCCATTGTGTCAAACACCAGACCAACATGTACTACATGCTGGCATACAATTGCCTGTGACACATCTCATGGAAATGTCCTAATTCATCCTAATTCTCATTTTGAGGTGTTGCGAGTTGTGGTCCTTTTGCCGAAACAAAGAAGCTTTCGCAATGCTCACCAAAAAGCATCACTTCTTCTGGTGGGTATGAGACCCAGCAAGATCCAAATCTCCCAAAACCCCAAAAAGCCGTTCTATCACTGAACCCCTCTGATGGCCCCTTCAGATCCCCTCAGATCTCCTGTCGAGCAAAGCCCACCTCCAAACACCCCAAACACACCAAACACCCACCCCCCAACGGCCCAACGGCTCGTCTTCTTCGTTCACGCGCCTCGGAGAGAAGAGGCCCTCCCATCCGCTCACTTTGTTTCCTGCGTGTCCCGAGCCGCCCACACGTCCCGCGCCGAAGCTGGGCGTTCCGGGCCGTGGTTGGATGTCGTGTCCGGCGACTGATGGGACGGGACGTGTCCGGCGCCCAGGCGTCAACGTGGTGCTTCATGTTCTTTGCGGCATATCATGAGTCACAAGAAACCACCTGGGGCAATGGACTGATATGGTGGAAAAGAGGGCAGTTGGCATACCCACAGGCGGCCTTTAGGCAGACCGCCCAGAAAAAGTACAAAAAGTACAAAAAAAGTAGTCTCCCAAAATGTTGCATCTGCATGGTTCTGCAGACTGATATGCCAACTGCATAATTGAAATGTCTAGCCGTCATCAAGTTCCTACACAAATCGGAGGATAAAAGACTTCAGAAGATTTGGAGAGTCCAGATCTATATATAGTTCGGGTCTGTGGATGATGGTGGTTAGTAAAGGCCTTTCTCAAAAATAGTGATCATCTTTTACTGACTGTTACTTGTAATGGGCTACACCCTATATATAGTGCTATTCTTGTTAGCAGGAGAGGCTTCTACTACAATTTCTTTCTTTGAACCAAGAAGCAACGAAGCTGGGCAAATTCACCCGGAATAATTTTGCACAAGATGAGTTCTCAGCTTGGAGGGTTTGGCTGAACGACGTGATCATAAAAGATCCACCTCTCCACTATCAACATCATCCCAACCATCCCAGGTAGGAGCGATCGGACGCGAACCGAACGGGGCGAACCTGGCCTTACTACGAACGGAACAAGGACGCTACGAACGGAGCAAAGGGTGACCAAAAAAAGCGCAGCATGAGAGTCAAAACAGTGCGCCGTGACGCCGTTTTCCGTACCTTCGCCGCGTTCGCCCATCTGCCGAAGGATGTTCTTGGCGATGTCTCCCAGCACTTCGAACCTTGGCTGTTGATGCGATGTCTGTGGGGTGACATCTCCATAAACCCAGACAAACAGCTGTGTGACATATCCTCGTGTTGCTTCGTTTTATCTGCCTCAGCTTTGGGTGAGCTGTGCAGTGTCCTACCCGCAAAACCCCTGAGCTACCACCAAAAGAGTACATTCATGAAAGTGATCAGGGGGCCCCCTCATTCGCTCGCCCGGATGGGGTGGGAGAACCTCCCGCCCCCATCTTCATGCCTCAAAGGCTCTGGAAAAAAACGTGAAAACTTCCCAGTTGGTCTCATCTTTTGAAATCGGCATTTGTAGTACCGCACTTTCTCCAGCACAAATCACTTCACGCAATCGCCAAGTTTTCATTCCTTCATCCACTGTAGCTTCAGTGAAAGCCCAGCCTTCAATCAACCCCACTCCACCAGCGACTTGAGTTCCACTCAACGGAATAGGTCACCCACTCAGCCCCTTCGTTTCACTCACCGCAAAACTCCCGCTGGTCCTCTGCAAAACAGCCTTCACCCGCCTGTTCTCCGCGAACCGAGCGTCAAGGAGACCGGCATCCGTTCGGCCGCGTCCATGGCGAAGTCGGGGTCTAAGAGGCCTTGGGGACCGACCATGGGACCTCGGGCCGAGAGGCCTAGAGACCGGACCAGAACCTCATCCTGGCTGCAGACATGGGTAGGACTACTTTAAAAAACAGGGGTGGATGTGTGATGTCTAGTGAGTCTAGTGACACAGTAAAACATCATACGTTCGCTATATGGATGCATACGTTCTTCAAGAACACTGCCAATGGTAGCTCAGGAACAGCTCTTCGCACATTTCCTGAGGCCGGCTCAGAGGTGCACCACCGACGAACGTGTTTGGTCTCCCATGAGGGAGGCGAAAGACACGCTGAGTAGGTAACGATGACAATGAAATATCAAAGATGCGTTTCTTCCTCTTTCCTCTGTTTTCTTCCGTTTTCGCTAGTAGGTTGGAGGCCATTACAATGAGGTTGGCCTCTCTTCTCTTCTCTCTCTCTCTCTCACTCTTTGCATGAAAGAGCACCCTTCCCATGCCTTTATCAACAACTCCCCAAACGGTGACGGTGAACGGCACTCCCTCAATGTCAACCTATCTCAGACCGAGCCGATCAGATCCAATCCGAGAAACCAGCGCTACCAGCGATGATGTTCCGGTGTCAAAGACCCAAAGCTGAGGTTCTTTGTACCAGTAAAACAAATGCGCATGGACAACAGTAATTTGGGTCTATCATTCCTATATCCAGGGCCCAGTGGATGATGATGATGATGATGATGATGATGATGATGAGAAGGGCCACTAGCTTCAAGCCCCATTCCATCAATTGGAACGGGCTAGTGCGGGACCCCGCGCCTCATGGTCACCCTGACCTTTGTGGCCGCCCTGATCCTCGAGACCATCAGGTACCGGGACTTCATCCGCCAACTTGGTGGACATCCTCCTGAACCTCTCTTCAAGGCGGTCCCTGAGGGCGGCACGGTCATTTTGATTGTGGTTCTCTTTTTTCAGGTCTTTAACCTGCTTCTCCTCTTGAGCTTTGAGACCTACAAGAACACTTCTACCGTGAGAAGACGTCGATTCTGGTCAAGAAGAACCACCTCCCAGGTCCTTGCACTGGCTCCTAGAGCTAGCTGGGGTCCCAAGTCCCCAGCCAGGGCTGGCACCTTCCTCCTCCTCCTCTGCGGCCTTCTTGGGGTCTACCACGAGGACTACATGGCCAAGCTCAATGCCAATGCCATGCCCTGGTGGCCCGAGGGTTCCGGACCAGCCACAAGGTCCGGTGAAGCCAACAAGAACTTTGCCATTCAGTTCACCAACACGGCAAAGCCAAGTGGCCTTGGATCCACACACCAACGTCTGGACAATTGCCAGCACTTTCCCAAGAAGAAATCCTACATTCGCGCACTCAAGCGGGCCCAACTTCACGGGCACACATGGTACAAAGGGAAGCTCTATACGGCTCAGATGCTTGGAGTCACTCCACTTCCTTGGCAGCCCTCTGACACTCCAACGACTTCCTTGGGGCAACCCAATTCATCACCACCTGCCAAACTACGGAAGAACAGGCTTCAAGGACTCAGCTGGAACATCGGCTCCCTGAGCACCTACAAATTTGACATCCTCAGGCAATGGATGCATCAACAGCAACTTGACCTTATTCAACTTCAAGACACAAGGTGGGGATTCACAGGTGATTGGACTGACAACACCTTTGCATATATCCACAGTGGATCTCAAGATCGAGCAGGAGGGCTTCTGACCATCATCCGAAAGGCCTTCTGCCCTCCAGACCGGATCTCCTGGCGAGAGGTTACTCCAGGGCGGCTTCTTCATGCCCGGCTCTACCTTGACTCCACGGGCCTTGACCTGGTCAACCTCTACCAGCATCCATGGACAGGCTCAGACCAGCACTGCAGAGACAAACGCTCAGGACTGCTGGACGCCTTGGATGGCCTATTGGCAGGCTTTCCTCACAGGAATGTGGTCATCCTTGCCGGTGACTTCAATAGCAGTTTGCCTCGGACACCGCACTGTGTTGGGCTTCATGACTTTCAAGGCCGACGAGGGCGTCTTTCTGGCACCCAACACCAGGATTCACATCTCTTGGCTGACATTCTACCCAGGCGGGGGCTCCTGGCCATCAACACCTGGGACACTTCGCTTGGTCCCACATACAGGGGCGGCCTGGGGCATCAATCTCGGATTGACTATGTCATGGTCCGGCACAAAACCAGTGACTCCATCACGAAGAAACCTATCTACCTGGAACACCTCCCAGGCAAGTTTGGTCACACCAAGGATCATGTGCCGATTCTGTTCAATCTTCCCTACAAATGGCGGGGATGGAAGCCACCTCTCTCGGGCCTGAACAGGTTCCAACAAGATCTTCTTCAACGACATTGGCACCTTCAGAGTCCGGAATGGCACCACTGGTGTCAGGACCTCGGCAACCGAATTGACCATCTTCGGGAACAAACACCCAATCTGGAGGCTCTCAACCAGGTTTTGATGGATGCGTGTATCTCTTTCCAGCCTACTGGAAGATCCGACAAACCTTCAACAACCAATTACTGGTCCTGGGCCTCCACACTGTCCCGGCTCCACCTTCCTGATGTAGCTCAGCGGGTTCACCACTCATCCAGGAAGGAGCAAATTTTTGGTTACTGGCTTCGAGTGACTCGGATTCAACGATGGCGGAAGGAGGCCACCAAATCGGCCAGGGAAGCGAAAAAACTGAAACTTCAGGACAACATTGACACCGCCAGACATCACTGGTCCACCAACGACACACGACGCTACTTCAAGGTGGTCAACTCCCTGACGCCCAAGCACAGACCCCCACGTCCTCAACTCCGAAAGAAGAGGGCATGCTCATGTCCCCTGAAGAAGAACTGAGGTGGATTCTTGACTACATGGAAGGGGTTTATGCGGGAACAGATCTGCAAGGAGTCCACTTTCACCTTCATGCTCTGCCATTTGGACCAGGTGACATCACACACTCACTGAGATCCTTGTATGGACACACCAGTGTCCCTGCGCATGTGGCGCCCAGCTTCATTTGGAAATCCATGGCTGAGGAACTGGGCAGCTTGCTCTACTCCTGGCTCTCCCAATGGATGGCGGCAGGCCACATCCCCTGGGAATGGCGGAAAGGATGGGTGGTTCTCCTTCCCAAGCCCAACAAGAAGGTCACTGAACCCAAAGCTCTGCGACCCATTGCCTTGCAAACACCTCTTTCGAAGACCATCATGTCCATGTTTGTTCACGAAGCCAAAAAACACACTCTTCGTGCTCTCACATGGTTTCCTCAATTTGCCTATTTGCCTGGGAGAGGCACCTGGGAAGCCATCTCCCGTGTCCAAGCTCATGCCAAAGCACTTCATCACAAATGGCGATATGAGGCTGGCAAAGTACAGGTACCAGGGGAGAAAAAACCCCTGGTCTTTGGTGGATGTCAATTATTTCTTGACATGACGGGCGCCTTTGATGCAATGCCCAGGGAACACCTGCGAGAGGCCTTTAACCTTCTTGGTCTTCCCCAAGATCTCTCAGCTCTTCTGTTGTGTTGGCACACCGAAACCTCCTACATTGTTCAATGGAAAGGACTCTCTGCAGAACAACCCACTCATAGAGGTGTGAGACAAGGCTGCCGAGGTGCACCCTTCTTTTGGGCATGCTTTATAGCACTGGCACTTGAACGTGTGGCGGCGGAGACCTCTATCAATTGGATGAGGGAATGCTGCACCTTTTATGCCGATGACGGGCACGCCTGCTTCATATTTCATGATCTTGACGAACTTCACTTTGGGTTGGTTTGTTTTGGGAAGCTGATCACCATTCTGGAACAGCTGGGCATGACCGTGAATATGCACAAGTCAGCCGTTGTTGTACGCTGGGGTGGCACAAAACACCAACAAGCGCGGAAGCTGTATGTGAAAAGGAAGCTGGAACATCAAGCACTCCGCATTCCGAAAGATGATGGCACATTTCATGAAATTCCAATCAAAGAGAAGCACGAATATCTTGGTATTCAGATGGGATATTTTAATTTTCAGCGTGATACGATGAAGGCCAGACTTCAAGCAAGCAAACTTCGATTCAAACAAATGCACCGTTGGTTTTCCAAGAACTCTATGCACGCGGCACAGAAGGTGGCTCTATGGCAAACATGCATTCTTCCCATAGGGATCTATGGACTTGATGCAACTGGGACTGACAGCACCAGTATTCCCATATTTTCCAAGGCCATGACCACCATGGTGAGACAAGCAGCAGGAGATCACTCATTTCAGACTCACAAGTCACATCATGCCTTTTTTCTCGAGCACCACCTGCAACACCCGGTTGCTGTGCTGCGGGGGCGGATGGCCTCTCAACTACACCGACACGAGGCCAGACTTGTTCAACTGCATGAGATGGATGTTCTTCACACCTTGGACTTGGACTCCCTTCGATGCTCAATCAATCTTGTTGACACATGGCTGCAGGAACTCAGCACATCAGAACCGGGCAATACTCTTCCTCTCGCAGAGGCAGGACTGGAATGTTACACCTGTGGGCTTTTGTTTCGGCACTACTACACGCTCAAAAGACATGAAACATATTCGCATGGGATCCTTCATGCCACCGGTCCTCCACTGGTTATTGGTAGAGACTCTATTGATGGCAGACCAACCTGCAGACATTGTGGAGAACATTTCATTAGCTGGCAGAACTTTCGACATCATATCTCATCGTTTGCATGTAGCAACTTCGATCCATCCAAGGCACCTCCGGAGCAACTCCATGCCTTCCGGACCCGGCTGCTGGAATACTATGATGGAGGAGACCTTGAACCACTTGTACAAGATCGTCCGCTTTGCTACTTTCTTTCCCAGCGCTGCATACTTTGTGGATTCTGGTCCTCGAGACTTCAGCAAATGTCCGCACACATGGGGAGAGATCATGGGGACATCTATGCACTCATGGGGGACGTTCTCCCCAATGTGGTGAGGGCTCGCGCCTCCTCCCCTTCTGAACTTTGTGAACAAGCTTTTCGGAGCAGGACCCACACATGTCCAGTGAAGGGAAGCACCGGGAGCAGTTCCCGGCAAGTCTTCCTCCTGTGCCACAACCTCCGCAAAGGATGGAAGCCCAATTCTCTTGTGGACTTTGTCCTCGGAAGTTTGTGACCGCGGCAGGACTTCAACAGCATCAGGTCATGGATCATACCCACTCCACGACGACCAGGACCTTTGTTGCTGGCCGAGATCAAGTACCCGGGCAGACTCAATGTGCACATTGTCAATCCAAGTTTTTGAGTCTGGCTGCTCTAAGGCACCACATTGATGGAGGCCACTGCTCCACTCCACCTGACGATGACCCGCCCCTCCTGTGGCATCATCCGCTGATCATCTCCGGACTTCATGGCGGGACCTTTGACCATCTCATGCTCATGGCCTACAAGTCCCTGATTCGACGACTTGGCTATATCTGCGGACTTTGTGGACATCAGTCAGGGAGCTCAGTTTCCTTGCTGAAACACCTGGGGAACCAGCACAATGAGCACTGGCCTCAAGCAACCACCTATGCGGAATGGCTTCAAACGGATAGTGCCTTGAGGAATCTGCGGTGCTCGTGCCTCCGGCCTCCAACGACACCACATGTTTGCACAGTCTTCACACAGCTGGCCCTCTTTGTCCATCATGACTTGACCAGACTTCACGGAGGCAGTGACGATATGATCATGTCCTATGCACTCCGGCTTGATCTACAAGTTCTGAACCCTACCATCTCACTCTCCTTCCCTGACCTGGACAGCAAACTTGCCACTGGCCTCTTTGCAGAGCTCATTGAGGATGACACACTCTGCACAGCCCTTAGCACCTGGTGTTGTCTGTGCGGGAGGCAAATTGATCCACGTGACATGCTCCAACACCTGTGGAATCAACATGCCAAACATGCCAACAGGGGCAGTTTGTTTCACAAGTACCTCACCATGTTTCAAGTGAAGCAACCAACCTGCTCCATTTGCAAGGGTCATCCCACCGCAGCTCAGTGCCCGATTCTCCTGCAACTGGCCTCTTTGCTTGCCATCCTTCATCATGGACATGGAAACGGGGGAAGTCTCCGAGATGTGGGGTGCACTGAACCAATGGGTCAAGATGGAGGTCGACGAGGAGAAGCAGAGTGCCAAGAGGCCCCGATCCATCACGTCGAATGGAGGGAAGAGCCAGGGACAAGGAAAAGGAAGAAAAGGCCAGGTGAAGAACCAGATCACCAATGGAGAGTCCACACCCAACACAAACAACCTGCTGCAGGTACTGAGCAGGCTAGTGCTAAGGCACGAAGACACCCTCCAGTGTCTGGCCACGGAGACGGACTTCTTCGTTTTTTTGAGCGCGGGCCCAGGGTCCGTCCTACCTTGCATGATGGCTCAGACCACCACCTGGCATCAGACACCTCAAAGCGAGAGGACACACCCCTTGAGGATCCTGGTTCTGAAATCACTGCTGGAAGAATTGGTGAAGAGGAGACAGAAACTTCAATCCACGGCCTCCTCAGATCCCTTGATCCAGACATTGCAACGCCTGGGATTCCTGAAGATCGACCTGGAGAATGGGAACAACTACTTTTTCCCAAGGATGAAGTGGGATCATCAGAAGCAGGCGATGGAAGCCCAAGAGGATGCTCCTCTCACAGTCCAGCAGGCTCTGCACACCCTAGCACGGATGCTCACTCTCTTGCAACAGGAGGACCTGATCAAGCGATTTGGGGCTCTGCGTCCGGCCCAACAGATTCAGAAAGTCATGACCACGGACACCGACAAGCCCTCCGCAGTGATTCCATGGCGGGTCACCTTGGCCTTGACCAACACACACTCCACCGAGATGAGAGGGCTTTGGCACCAGCTCAGCCACTCCGGGCTTTGGCAACTGATCTTGGGCAGGATGCGACCCGCAACCCTGCACAGAACACCTCTGGCTCAACACCTGGGCAAATTGCTTGGGGACCTCTGATCAAGTATGATCTTGCACCACTGAGGCCACTGACGAATCCGGCATCAGCTTGCTACATGAACTCGGTGGTCACGGGATTGGTGTGGAGTGCTCAATGGGCAGGAGGCTTGAGTGAGGACCACTGGTCCAACTTTCCGAGGGTCTTTGAGACCATTGCAGATGTGTCACCAGAGGGAGAACCACTTCTATTGTGGGCAGATGGGCAATGGACCACCTTACTTTCCACGTGGCCGGAACCTTTTAGACAACATGATGTCATTGATTTTGCTCATCACCTTCTTCAACAGCTGAACCCCAACTTTCTCAGTTGTTGTTGGGAATCCCGGCTGGAACAGGATGGGGAAATCCGTGTGGTGGATCAAAGTGCCCTGGGGTGCCCTTTGCACCTATACATCTGCAGTGAGCAAAAGAATGCACTGCTGCCAACTGACCTGCAAGGTTTGATCTCCAACTGGAGCCTGGCATCTTTCGGTCTCCATGGGTTGACGGAACCCGCAGACGTCACATGCCTCCACATCGATCGCTTCGACTCGAGGGGCAAGAAAAATCGAACCAGACTCAGCTGGGACTCTAAGGTGTGGATGCCTTTCTTCTACAACAACAAGCTTGGCATCGACCACATTCCATTTGTGGTCACGGCAGTATCCTATCATTTGGGCTCGGAGCCCACCTGTGGACACTATTGCACGGCGGTCCTGGCGGGTGGCTTCTGGTGGGTCTTCGACGACGGCTCCAAGCCGGAGAAGTTCGACCGAATCCCAACTGTGATTCAGGAGAACTGCTGTCTTCTATGGCTCAACTGCACGCCGCATGGAGGTGCAGAACCAGTCTCAAAATTGACGGAGGAATCTCCTATTCTCTCTGAGGAGGAGAAGCTTGAGCACATCATTCATGACCCCTCCATCAATGACGACTGGCACCACAAATGGCTCCAAGCCATTGACAGGCTTGATGCTGACATCCTGGTGGACCACCCGGGACTATGCCATCGGCTGGTGAAGAAGTGCATCATTTGCCAAAGTTGGCCTCGTGACATGAATGCACACCTGGAAGTTGCACATCGAGAACTGTGGGAGGCCTCCCTGCCGGTGGCCGAAAAATGTGGTGCTGCCTTCAATGCCAAAGCACACCCAACCAGGTGGTGTGCCTGCCAGCCATACTACACAACTGAGCTGTCTGAGGACCACCCGTGTCCATGCCTACGCCAATTTGGCATTTTGCACTTGGCATTGCGGAAAAGCCAGCCAATTTCTGCCAGATCGAATCTGGCACGCTTGCTCGATTTGACCTTCAGCTAAATGCTGAGGCTGGAACGTCCCTTCGGGGACCAGGCGGATCAATGGATCCACGCCATCATCACTCGATGAGCGTAGAGAGAAAGAAAGAGATGATGATGATGATGATGATGATGATGATGATGATGATGATGATGA